TTTCAGAAAAGTCAACAGTATAATAGGTATGGTCTATCGTTCGTTAAGGATTTCGATTATAATAACTTATTTATCAGAGAAAGCTTTTGATACCAGATGAAATATTCCTGCTACCGCTGAGTAACATTTCACATATGCCATATAAGAGAAGAATAATAAATTGTTTATGCTAACAAGCCGTCGCGTGGATTTCAAAGAATCAAAAAAGACCTTTGAAAATTTTCTAGAATTCCGGAAAAAATAAACCTAACTACGTGATGATAAATATATAATAATCTTCCTTAAAAAGTTTATTTACAATCACTTAAGGTGCCTTTTATCATCTTTCAAAGGCTCTTTTTATAGCGAATCCATTAGCAAAACCTTTGAGAATAGGTTTATTTTAATAGCTATTAATTCATTTAAGGTAACAAACCTCTGGGGGTAAAGGTTTTTACTGAAAAATGTATATTTAATTTTGTAATTTATCTTTATAATTTTTATTAAATATTTTGTAAAGTTCTTCGAAAATCATTGCGTACATTTGCTATCTACATTTTTACAATTTAATCTAATCATAATGAAATAATTTGAATAAAAAATCTAAATGTTAGTCCTAATTAAGTTTGTTACCTTTTTATTCATTTTTCGAAATAACTTACCCTAAGACAATTTAATGAATTATCTTCAATGAAACTCCTCCAGAAATAATTAAAACAAACTGAGGCTGTGGCAACATATTAATCAAGTCGAATGAAAAAAATCGTTGTCATTTATCTGAGTTGAGCGCTTAATTAGAGCATAATTAAAAGTTAAGGGGCTCGCACTTCTTGATCGATTGCGAAGATTGCCAATATAATCTGGGACAGGCGCGAAATTAAATTTGATTAGGTTATTTATTTGACGCTTTCAGAGCGTTGAAATTCAATAATGGCTTGTTGGGCGGCACGTTGGCAGCGCGCTTGCCGTCTTGAAGTTATGAGTTCTAATGCCTTTGATGAGTGCAGTGTGTTTTCGAGTTTTTGAGTTTTCAGGGTTCCGTGACAAAAGGATAAAGCGGGACCCCATTATTAAGATTCCGCTATCTATCTCTTTGTCTGTGCGTCTGTCACCGGGCTGTTTCTCATGAACCGTGATGGTTAGACAGTTGAAATTTTCACAGATGATGTATTCCTGTTGCCGCTATAACAACAGATACTAAAAAACAAACGCCAGGCGGCTACCAAGCAACGGTTACTTGGCAACCTATAGATACTAACCAGTTACTTTAATAAATGATATTGTTAAATTATAATTATATTATACTTGTGTAAATAAAAACCATTCGTGTGCGAGCCCGACTCGAACTTAGCCGGTTTTTTTTTTTGAGGAGACAAGCGAGCTACCGGTTCACGGTTAAGTGATAATCGCCACCCATGGACATTTACAGGACCCATAGGGTTGCAGATGCGTTAACCTTTTAATAAAGTGGGCTCCGCTTACTTCACTCATTAGACTAAACAAAGAAGTATAATACTTCTACTTCACGGTCTTCTGTGAGGACCTCCTTATTCGTTCAACAGCGAAGACGCAAGTCAGTGCACCATACTCCCTCAGGACTTAATACTGTCTGTGAAACATGGTCTAGTTGTTTCTCCCCCATTATTATCGAATGAAGAGCTTCCGTTGTTATTGTAGTCACAACGTAACTGCGGAGTTTTCGAAGAGCAGCAAAGGTCGTTCTGCGATCCCGGATAAGACGCAGATTTGGATATAAATGAGTGATTAATGATAATCTTCAGATTTAAGTAGCCCTCTTCGGGGCCGACGGCGGAAGCGTTTTCGGAATATTTAATTCTATCTCTCCCGGGGTATAAATAAAGGTCGCCGTGATTCGCTATCGGGGAGGAGCGACGAATTAACATGATTTTGGCATTTGTCCGGCCGTGTAATGTAAACAAATGGATGAATGTGTTCTTTAGTTGTTATGGACTTGTTTAACTGTGGGGTCGTACGGATGAGCGGTTCCATCCGGGTAGAACCACGACCTCACAGAGGACTGGCGTGAAGTACAATTGTTACAGTTCTGCGTTTTCGTCTTGTGAGCGAGGTAGTCGGGGCCCACTTTATGAAAATGTGGCAACGCATCTGAAACGCTACGGGTGTTGCAATGTGCGGGCAGTGGTCACATAACATCAGGTGAACAGGTAGTCATGGCAAACGAGGTGGTGACATTTTTTCACATAAAAATAAAAAAAGTCGTCACTAATCGCAGTAACAGCAATTGGTAAAAAACGCCTTCACGGTTTAGGTTATTTTATGGTTTTGTTATTATTAATACTGAAGTTTGAAAAGCAAACCCAACTGTACTGAGATTTATAACGTGACAAATAAATTAAGGACTAAGATTGGAATTATTCTTAATTTTCTCTTGTTTGTATCCCTGCAACTGCTGATTTTTTTCTAGTGAAATTATTAAAAAAAATAAAAAACAAAAGAGAATTATTTAATAACTACACTAAAGAGTTTTATACCAGTTTTGCCCGTTTTAATGTTTATGATAGTGTGATGCGTTTTTTGGCTGAGTAAATTGTGCTACTTTATAAAATTCCATTTTTGTTTTACTCTACAATTCATTATTGTATTAATTTATATAAAAACAGACGGAAAGTTAATGGCCGACTCGATCCCGCGTCTTCGGAATCAAGCACGTGAAGCTTGTTTTCGCATAAGAATGTAATAAAATTTTGCCTATTTCATATCTATTTCATAATAATACATCCAAAAATTTTTCTTATATAAACTTACTAATAAACTATTTTGGAGGAAATTTCTAAGGGAGCGTGAAATGAAGAAATTTATTGCAAGTATAAATAAGCTATAAACATTTATTTCGTACTTTGAATAGAGGCGATATTTAAATATAAAAGGTTATTTATTCGTCACAGCTAAGTCGAAAAATAAATGTTTCATTTTAAAACCTAATCTTCTGCGCCAACTGAATGCTATTCACGTTCCTTATACCTTATCACTATATAGTTTAAAAAAAATTCTTCCCGCTGTCTGTCTGTCCCTATGTATGCGTAGATCTTAAAAATACGCAACGGATCTTGAAGAGGAAGGTTTATATGTATAATACATTAAAACCTTGTGAAGTCGGGGCGGGTCCCTATCAATCAATATAATATCTTGCTGTATCTCTTAACATACTCTTATATATTTTCATAAAATAACAAATTTAAGTATCAAAGGACAATATCCATTTTTGGCTTCGCGTGAACAGAATTCTTAGATAAAAATAATTATACCAAAAAATCTCCCTGAATAAAACAAGAATATTTGTATTTTTCGGTTGTATCGATGCAAACTGATAAAAACATCCAATAATGAGTATTTATATTGATTTATATACACAAAGTCTTGTCGACATTTTAAAATATTACCTTGCCAGTATAAAAATCTCAATGACATCTATGACTATTCGATTTTTTAATCGATCAAAATAATATTATTATTCTCATTTATTAACTTAGATTTATTTTATTTGGGCTAGAAATAATTTATCGAATGTGCATTTTATTTTTTATTTTATGCAAAAAGTTGTCAAACCAGCAGACGGTTCTCCTGATGTTAAGTGAATACCGCCGCCCATGGACATCTGCGACACCCGAGGGTTACGGATGAAAATTGGGCTCCGGCTACCTCACTCACCAGACGAAACGCGAAAGTATTTGTTACTTCCACTTTACGCTGGTCTTCTGTGAGGTCGTGGTATTTACCCGGACGGGCCTGCCCATTCGTGCAACAGCCGAGGCTGCAGCGTGGCCCTACCACCGTAAGTGCGTAAGTCAGGAAATAATGTGGCACTGCATTTTATACATAAATATTTATAAAGAATTAAAATTAACATTGTACTATTTTCATCAACTTCAATTGCCAATATATTTGAATAAATTGTCCATTATTTTACTTGTCATTGGCATAAAGGATAACAAAATGCCAGAATCATAGGAAAAAAAATTGTTCATTGGTTGCGATTTTTATGGCAACATTAGGCAATACTTTTGAGTTGTGACTGTTATTTTGACAAATGTCATTTGCTTTATTCATTTATTCGTAGGTATTGTGATTTTCGAATGTATGTTGTCTTGTGCAAAAAATATATTATATTTATATCTTATATGAAAATAATATTTTTGCAATTGCATGGTGGGTCGTCGGACAGTGGGTTGCTGTGCCCATATAATTACTTTATTAGGTTCATGAGCTGGGCAAGGTACCCAGAGTCCTCAAATCTATCTGCCCAGTTTTTAGATAACAGTTTATTAACTTATGGATCTGATTAATAAAAAAATATGAAAACTAAATTCGATATTATATTTCATAGCCTTGTTTATAAATGTTTATTAAAAAAACTAAGAAACACCTGGACACAAAACTTTATTATTTTTCTAATTCCTTCTGAATAAATCTACTAATTCTACACATCGTTGTTATTCTCAGTGACTGTTCACTCCAAGCCAAAACCCCCATACAAAGTGGACAACGCCCTTTGCACATAGCTATATTATGATTTATTTGACTTTCATGACAGTAGGTGTTATTTCGACTTCTATGTATCATAATATAGAGTGTAGCTTTACAAACCTTTTAAACCTTGCAAGATGCAGAGTGATACAGCACTATTCACGTATAATCAAGCTCATTAAATATCAGAATCAAGTATCAATATGCACACAGGTAACATATGAGTGACAGTGATGTTTGCAACTACTGTAGGTGTATTACTGGATGTAATATTGCTTGGGCAATTATTTAATACAGCAACGTCATAATGCATGGATGCTTAGTTAATAACTAAATACATAAAACAATGGATGTACGTTTTGAATGACAATTCAGGGAAAAGTCAAATTTGAAATATCGTGTTATATTTAAGAATTTAAATTCTTGTCTTGGACTCACAGAAGATCGAGAAGCCTCAAAGCGCTTCGCTTGCTCAACCACAATCGTCTTGAAATAAAAAGGGGTTGTTTATCTTATAGCCGAGACTCATCATATTGCTCACTGGAGACCTCTATAGCTGCCTCCGGCATCTGCCCCAACTGTTCAGCCTGTTTCACCGTATCTGGTAAGGCGTCATTAGATATGTCGGGCACCAGTAGTGTTAGCAAGCCGGCTACTATCGACAAAGCTCCACACAACAAGGGCGGTATGCCCGACCAGTACGACATCTACAAGACAACAAATTATGATACAAGCCGCAATATGATAACAGTTTTTTATGCACACAATAAGGATGTGCATTTAGAACGTAAAGAAGTACGTACCAGTAAAGGTGTTTGCGGTGCCGTTATTGAACCGATCCGTCCTAAAGAAGAACAAAGCGCGTGCATTGAATTCCTTGTGTACGTAGGAAACAGCTCCGACGTGTATAAATATGTTATAGAGAAATAAAACGACGATAACAGTTTCCCAGTCATGTAGAGGGATACTGATAGCCAGTGTAAATCTGTAATTCAAATTGAGAATGAACAGTTGTAGTGTATGCTTGATGATTAAAAAACTTTTAGCAGAAGTACATTAAACATTTTTAGAGATATTTTAATTTATACGGAAAAATTCCATTATTATTACAGTTTTATCTGAACTTTCACAGCTTCGAATAGTACTTGAGACTTTTAGAAAAATAGTAAAAGTTAAACAACTTGATGTCAGTGTTGCAGTGTCTACCTTCTCGTCTATATTTCTGGTAGAAGATATTCAGGTACCGGACATCAGGACAAAGAAAATATATATTAATAGAAAAATATTTCAGTTTGTTAAACTCACCAATTGGGACAAATGGTTGCGACATACAAAATATTCCACTTGCAATGAAACAAAACATGAGTGGTAGCTTTCTTTTACAGCGTATAAGTAGATACGTTATTATGAAAATCCCCGGCAACTCCACTAATGACATCAGGGCGTAATTGAAATATTTGTTCCCTTGTAACGAAACGGAATTAATAGACAAACCGTAGGAGACGAACGTACATGTAATCCACCAAATTAAGCACACAAGGAATCGCCTTCGAAGTAATTTTGATCGAAAGGTAGTGCTCAGGATGGTAATGTAGCTTACTTCTTTGTAATGTTCGTGGGTTAAATTGTCTAGGCTATTCTTATCCAATTTAATATTATTCTTTGTTGCCATTTTCTCAAGTATTCGAATTGCTTTTTCCTTCTTTCCTTTTATAAGTAACCAACGAGGACTCTCATCTAGCAGACATTTGTAAAATACGAAAAGTAATGATGGCGTATAAATGACTCTTAAAAATGACCTCCAGTATGGAAACAGCCATGCAGTCAAAGGCAATATGAGCCCACCGAGAGTGTATCCAAATGTACAAATGATAATAAATTCGATCCTGTGCTTCTTTGATACTATTTCCGTAACTGAAACATATACAATAGAATAAAAATATATAATTTTATATTAAGATATAGTTATTTCCGCTTTGTATTCAACAAAAAACAATAGTGTTTAAATAAAGATGGTCAAGATACAGGCGACGCTCAGAACCATTATTCATTGGCGGTCACATTTAAAGTCATAACATTGCATACTATATACTAAATAATTAAGAAGGTTCTCACTTTTGTTCAGTGGGCTGTGTCATTAGCAGTTGTATATATCTTGAATTTATGTACAACAATAGTATCAAAGTAATCATTACACAATCATCATCTATTATAAAGTTCACTTTACATCAGATGGGTGAATGTCTAAAAATTTCCGTTTAGTATTTCGTTAATAATGCCTCATGAAAGTCCAATGTCTCACTGTGGGTCACACAAGTACTTGTCCCGTGTGGGAATCGAACTCACGACCCCCGATGCCGAAGCCAATAGCTTAGCAACTTAATTAGCTTAAATACACTTACTCAGAATGTAAGCTGGTGAACAAGAATCCCCTATGGCGGCTTCTAGAAATTCCAATGCAATATACAACCAGTACCATGGTGAAAAACTTCTAGCCAGCCCAATGATGCCACCAAGGACAGCAGTAACTAGTAGAGTATTTTTTCTACCAAATCTGACAAAGAGCTTAGGTTAAAACAATTTGTAATGAAATTCAACTAAGACTCAAATGATTCGTTGTGGGAAGGCTTACTTACGGACTTCCACTTTCAACTTTCATTAATAAAATATAATGTACTTTGTAATCCAAATAGTTTTTTCGTTACGTAATGTTAAATTATGATTAAAATGTAATGCTTTAACATTAAAATTGCCAAATTTAATAATTAACAGCATATTAACTTACTTATCCGACAGGGGTCCGACAATGATCAATCCGAACATATAGCCGGTACTGTGTGTTGTTCCGACTAAAGTCCTTTTCCATTCTTGGTTTGCCAATTGAAACTGTAAAAGCAAATGGTATGATTCACTTTCGAGTTTGACCATAGTTTAAAATAAAAAGATGTCATTAAATAGGCACAAATTGTCAAACTCATGAGAGGAATCGTGAGAGTGAGAAATAATGCACTCTATTACAAAATTTAACTCCAATTATTAGAAACCTGGTCTACTGAAAACGAATTATTTATGCAATCTATTTCTTTTGTGATTGGGAAACAATAACTTAGATATATCGACATACCTCAGCTACAAAGGTGTGTTGGTCATCATAAAAACAGGTCTTGCAGTCACTCGAGTAATTATTTGAATTGTTATAATTTGTATCTTGGCATCTGTGTAAATAATTTAGTAATTAACTATCCCGGTCAAATAATCTCGCTATTATTTTTTTGCTTATTTTTATCGTAAAACCAGTATGTCATTGAGTAAATGAGCTAAATATGAAAGAGAAAAACTAATAGTATGTCTCAGGAATGTAAAACTAAACAGCTAAAAGGTGGTAGGGCTATTTAATAGACTTCACTGTTGCACGCATGTGCTGATTGATCCTGGTGAGTACCAAGATTTTTAATTTTTTTATAGTGCTAATCTCTGCACTTAAGATTGAACATTAAATGCGGCGACAATCTTTTCGTACTTTTTCTCCAAATTTTAAAGTACCAAGATCTCACAAAAGAGAGTGATGTGGAAGTGCTACACTTCTGCGCTTCATCCGATGCGTGAGGTAGTACTTTATTAAAAGATAGCGACGCACCTGCAAGCTTACGGGTGCTGTATATCTATTACTTACCACTTAACAGTGAGACTCCTGCACGCTTGAAACCTTCGCACATAAAAAAGAATCTCCAAAGTTTTGCATGGACGGTTATGCCGAAATGAACTCTTTTCTTAATTTTTTGGAACATGGCTTTTGATTAACTTTTTAATCTAGTAATAATTCAAAAGAAATTACCTGTACGAAACCTTTGCGGTGACAAAAATGTAATTACACGAGTACATACAGTTGGTAACAAAAGTGAGAAGTATTAAGGTCGCGCATTGCGTGAAATAACAACTGTATATACTAAATTTGTCCAAAACCTGTTCTAAATTTGTGGCGCTATTCGCAGTTTGTTTAGATTTCACCATTATTTTTGTATCTAATTGTTTTTGCTTATACTGTTCACTCCGACACGTGTTAACTCGAGGAGAAAAAAAGAGTCTTTGACGTTCTAAAAGTACAACTTATTAAGTCATAGTTTTAAATTTTGTGTGTATGTTATTGTTGCTTTCGATACACCCTTATATGAAAGGTAGGCTTGACTTTAAAGTTCACATTTAATACTAAAGCAACGGTACAATTTATTTAAATAATTATATTATATAAAAACTGATGTATATCTACACAATGTACTCACATAATTTATGTTACATTTCATACGAATATTTAATTAGTTGAAGTTACGGCCTCTTAACTCACATATGTTTGTCATGTTATTGTAATGGAAATTTGTTTCAACCTTGTTGATCGGAAACATTTGTGTGTTAACAAATAGCACGAATAAGGCTTGTGGTTTGCTTAGCAATGTGGCAATTAATAAATGTTCGTACGTACAATATAACAATATGACTCCTTAATGAAATGGAAGTGTTAAAATTTCCTTACGAAGATTCTTCTTCGTCAGAAATTTTGGCCTTCTGGCCAGGAGATTCGTTTTCCTTTTGAAGATGGCACGGCCTAAGTTAAGAAAACTTTCTCTGAAATGCGGCTTATAATAACTGTGCGGTAGATAGGTTAAAATGTGATAAAAAAACCACTGCCGTATATTAAAAAAAAGCTTACGTAACACTCGTTTAAAAATTGTACCTATCCTAATAGTTTTTTTCTATGGAAAAAAGGGGCAACCGAGCAGGAGGCTGACCTGATGGTAAGTGGCCACCGCCGCCCTTCATCTGGAACAACGGAAGGTATGCAAATGTGGTAGTGTGGATGGAATTTTTCAATGTTATTAATCTGTGAAAGATATTATTTATCGTTATTAAAATTATAGTCCTTTTGGTTGTTGCATTTGTAAATAAAATATGAGTAAATTTTTTACAATAGTGATGTGATGAATTTGGTTGTAAACCAACTTCAAGCAACTTCACGGTATTTACTTAAGATTCTAAAAAATATATAAAAAATAAATATAATAGCCGTGATAGCTCAGTGTCCGGACGCTTGCCTTTAATTCAATATACTCGAGCAACCTGAGTTCGATCCCCGGTGCCGGCACCAATGAAGTTTTTAACTTTAAGTGCTGATTTATCACGTGCTCCGCGGTGAAGGAAAACATCGTGAGGAAACCTGCATATTTTCGAAATAATAACAAAAAAAAATTATATTTCGAAAATATGTGAAGTCCGCCAATCCGCAGTGGGGCCGCGTGGTAGACTATGCCCTGATACCCTCTGTATAGAAGAGGTCTTTGCCCAGCAGTGGGACATGTATAGGCTGTTACTTTGTAAAAAATACATGTTAAACTGTTATCAGTTGCATTCTATGTCTTTTTCACAAACAAAGAGTACTGGCACAGGGTATAAAATTTTCAGTTATTTTTTTTGTTACTCTATTTTATTTAGACTTTAGTACTATAATTTTTTCATGCGTGAGTGCATAAGTACACACTCGTTGTTTAGCGTAGGTAAGTATTTTTATATCTCACAATAAATGTTTGCCGCCACTCATCAAGATCTTCAATATCTGTGGGATATGTAGAACAACTGTTCGAACAAATGTTGAAGATCTGAAGAGGGTGGTGGATATGAGCATATGCATGTAAGGAAAGGCCTTTCATTATCGAACACACGAAAAATACCTTAAAAATTGAAATACTACCTATAAATACTACCTATAAATGTAAATATGCAACAGGAATAAATAGTCTTGTGATTTCTTGACCAACTGATGAGATTAATAATTAATCATTTACAATCTCATAAGCTGAAATCGCACATTTCGAATATTAAAGTTTTATTTCGAAAGTTTGACAGTTTGATCGGAGGAAATTGTACTTTGTGACAGATTAGGGAAGGCAACGGTGTTAATAACTCAGGGGTTACTATAATTAATGAAAGTAGGTACAGTAAATAATTCATCTAAATTTGAGGCGATTTAAAATAATTGAAATATAATCTGCGTTTCAGGGTGATTAGACTCTATACCGATTAAAGAACTACAAAAACTGTGATATTTAATTCAGATAAAATGACGTCTTAATTTTAATAATAAATTTAAATAATTTAGTAAAAAAATATATTTCAAATATAAAATTATTTATGGCTTTTCGTTAAAGTAGCTTATAGTATTTTAGATGACTTCAATGGACTTCGACACCACCGGTTGTGTGATCGACTGCCAACTGGGACAAATATTGGTATTACGGATGTTTGTTTCGAATCTTTTTTATGTGACAAACGAGCGGACGG